TTATTAGCTTCTTTTGATCATAAACATTCACGTGCAACATTAATAAACGTTTTTTTGTTTGATCAATTCTGGGAATTTTACTAAACCTTTCTAATAATTTGGCACACTCAAATCACCGTGCTGATAACAAATATGGCGCCAGTTTGTTTAAATTGCAGTAAGAAAATCAGTACGAAAATTTCAGTGATTGCGCAGGTCAGTGTTGCCAACATTGTGTGAAAATTTTGTGTGAATTGATTGGACGGTTTTTGAAATATTAAAAAAAAAGTTATCTCGATAATAATTTGGCATGCAGTGTATATATATATATATATATATATATATATATATATTATATATATATATATATATATAAAACAAATATAGTTTTAAATGTTCCTATTTTTATTGGATACATTTTCAATATCAGAGATAGAATTATGTAAATATAAAAGTGAACATTATTTGTAAACAAATAAGAGGCCTCTGCTTGTAAACTTCAAGAATATTTCATTCCATGTATAAGTGAATCAAAATTAGACTGGGTGTTTATGTTTGTTAAGGCCATTTCAAAGAATTCCTTCAAATGTTTAGCTCCAAAAAATCAAAATCGATAAGTCTCAAAAGTAATTAATCCACTAGAAAATTTACTGTAAAGAAAACGTTCAAGTATTCTCATTATATAAATATATATATATATATATATATATATTTGCCAGGATTTTTTTTTCCCCTGTCTATATATTAAATCTGACAAATTTCCTCGTAGGACAAAGCGATTGATTTTTGTGTTTGTGTGTGAATGAATATCGATTTACTTATTTTTGTGAATGCTTCGTATTCATACAAACATGTTTGGAAAAGGATATCCTCATTCGTCCCTGACGGAAAAGCTTGACAACAACCTGAATCTCTTGGACTTATTAGCTTTAGATGTGTTTGACTTTTAAGAAATGAGGTTACCAGTCGTAGAAAGAAGTTGGTTATTTACAAGCACATGTGGAATATCGTGACAATGTCACAGTGAATAACGGAAATTGGAGGTTAATCAAATATAAAGTTACCTGATCTCTATTCTCTCTCATTCTCAGTATATATATATATAAATATATTTATTTATATAATAAATAATCTGCATCTCCACATTCATCTCAGAAAATGTGACTGATGAAGAACTATTTCAAAAAAGGAATAGTATTTTTTTAATTAGAAATTAAGTTATATAAAAACTTTCCCATTTTTTTTTACTTTGATTTTGGAAATTATCTTGGTTTTAGTTTTGAATGAAGAGAATATTTATGATTGATTGAAATTACCACAGAATTTCACATACACAACATAAAAGTAAATATTTCATATAACTACTAGAGAAATTTGTTCTAAAGTTATTTCCAAACAAATTTGATAAGTAGCAATAAAAATGCAACATTTTTTCCTATTTTGATTATTCAACACAAAGACACACACACACACACACACACACACACAAAACACTATAACATAAAATTCATGTTACAGTTTTTTTTATATATATATGTAATCATGAGAATAAAATAGTTAATTGTTTATAGTCTATCCAACAGAAGGTTGACCATTTTTAAAGCATAACATTGTATCCGTCGTGTATAAACAACAATCCTTGAATTTACTGTAGAATAACCAAATCAATTTTGTCAAAGTTTAAAAAAACGGAAAAACTACAATCAAAATGCTTCATTTATCCTGCTAAGCTGAACATTCTTATTCAATGAGCTCTTTTTAAAATTCATCTTATAAATAATCTGGATTCTAAAAGAAACGAAATCATGAATTTAATGAATAAGAGAAAATTTCATTTAAAACACCAATGCATTATATATATTAAATGAGTAGCAAGTATTTAAATTACATTAAAACAAAAAAAAATGCACCTCAAAACAAATTATTATCTGAAATTTTTTCTTTTAAAAAGAAAGGATATTCAAAATGCTAAAACTTGTAACTAAACGATTTTGGTGGACTTTTGATGGAAAAGTTTATTTCGACAATTGAATAATTTAAGTATTTATTAATGTTAATAAATTCTAGAAAATGATTAATTTTGAAATTCCAACTGCAATTCTTTGTGTCTAAAAATATTTGACTTTCAAACAACTATAATTAATTTCTTATTAAAAATAAAAATCATATAGACTTGTTAAAGACACACAATTTTAATCCACAAATAAAAAATAAAAAAGTGAACTGAAGATATTACATTTAAAACCATAAAACAGAACGTTTATTTTTAGTGTCATGAGAGTTATGCAAACTAATGTATTTTGAAGATCAGTCAAAAAAATTTAAAAAATAAAAAAATAAAAATGGAAGGATATTGACATGGAAATAAAAAAAAGAATATCAAAACATGAAGAGTTTGATAATTACAGATGTTTCGAGGCTTATTAATGCGTTTGATTGGAAAAAAGCTTTCTAAATCGACTCATTGAAAGAATTTTGTCCATGTTTTAAGAAATACAAAATTGTTTTAAAAAAAAAATTGGAAGTTGATTTCTTTGAATAAACGTTTTATTTATGATGTAAATTTCAAAATAGTTTCATTTTTTGTCAAATGTTCAGTGGAGAATGGATTGTTTGCTATCCTTTATAACTAAACATTTTTTGTTGGGATTCAGAATATAATTTCAATATAGCATGAATTAGTCAATTCAAATAATAATTTTAATTAAAATTTAGTATCTCAAGACAACTGTATCATGCCTTGTTATTTGGGTATTTGGAATTATATCAAAGGAGAAAAGAATATGAAGGATAAAATTAACTGGTTGCATTAAGTTAAAATTATAAAAAACCAAAAATAAATTTGTCGATTTCTCAAAGATGCAATGGCCATCAGAATTCCTTTTTTTATTTAATTATGTGGTACCTCCTCCATTTGCATATTTTTTTTTATTTGATTAGGTCGTATCTCATTCATTTGCATCTTTTTAAATTAGATTACGTCGTTCTTTTTTATCTGATTAGTTCATATTCATTCATTTCCATGTTTTTTATTGATTACGTAACCTCACCCATTTGCATGTTTTTTTCAACAAAGTCTTACCTCATTCATTTCCATGTTTTTACCTGATTACGTGGTTTCAATTCCATTTGTTTTTTTTGACAGAGGAACTACCTCATCCGTTTGAATCTTTTTTATTTGATTAGGTCGTACCTCATCCGTTTGCATCTTTAAAAAAAATTTGATTACTATAAGTTACCTCATCCGTTTGCATCTTTTTTTGATTCGTGATAATTGAATTTGCATCTTTTTTTGATTACGTCGTACCTACCCATTTGCATCTTTTTTAACTGAAAAGTCGTACAAAAATATACAATGTTTTTTACATGATTACATGGTACCTCATCCATTTTTCATCTTTTTTTTTTTAGCTAATTATAAAATACCTCATTCGTTTGCATTTTTTGTTCTGAAAAAAACTTGAAAATCCATTTATTATTCCAGACATTGTTCTCATGGAATGCCTGTGTGTGTTTTTCATCGGAGAGACTGAAGGAATATTTTCAAAAAACAACAAAATTTTGAATCGTAACAAAAAGCAGCTTTTTGTAATTTTGAAGAAATTTTTAGAATGATGAAGGCAAAAATAATTTGGGTCAGAACAAAAGTTCGTACATTTTTTTAAGTTGAAATTTTAAAGACATTTTAGTATATTTAAAATTTAATCAAAAAATACGTATAATTTGTTTTAGTGTTTTGTTCACAATTTTTATATTTTAATTTTGTTTCTACTATCTTTTTCTAAAAATTAACATTTTTTCTATTTGATAAACATTTAATTGGTTTTGACAGCTTTCAGAGAATTTCTTGGATATTGGAAAGAAAGTTTCATTTGGATCATTATTTTTATTTTTCAAAGGAGTAGAAGATTTCACTGACAAGGGAATCTCAAAAAAAACTAAAAAAATTTCTGTATTTGCAAAATTATGGAAGGTCTAGACATCCTTACTGATGAAAAAAGTGTTTTAGTTTTGTTTTTGATCTTTTCAAGGCATTTTTTTTCGATTATTGCCTTTAAATTTGAATAAAATGGAAGGATCATCTTAATGAAAAAAAGATGTGCTCATGGGGTTCAATCCCACTAGACTTACACGGTATCGCCTTTTTCTCATTGAGGACCGGGTTTTAGAGTGGTTAACGGTTTCTCCCTTTTGTTTTCTCGAACCTCTTTTCCTTTTGACATTGTTATAATCAGTCTATTTTTCATCGCCTTAACCGTTCTTTTTTTTTTTAATGTTTTCTCTTTTTGTGTACTACTCTCACCGCCTCAATTATTATTTTTTATATTATATTTTATAATTTTAAACTAAAGAAACAATCAAATAGCCCATTAGTAATTTTCATTCTTCTCTAACGATGGTCGGCTTGTCCAGCACACAAAATCATTAAAGTACACTGACACAGTACACGAATGTTATTCTGCTTTGTTGACATTTATTAATGAGGAAATAGGAGTTTTTTTTTTTTATGCTATTTCGAAATAAAAAAACCCCTAACAGTTCGAGGTGTCATGTGGCATTTTGAATTCATTCATAAAGTCAGCTAGCACTTGCCAATTAAAAAAACATTTCTCACGGGTGACAAAACTGACTTGGAAAGTTTAGAAAATGTGGCCTAAAAATATTATATGGAGAAAATAAGTGTAAAAAATAAACACAAAAAACGCTACGGCTAAATACTTTTTGGGGCATTAATCGACTTTTAAATTTAGAAAGTAAAAAAATTCAAAATTGAGTAGAACGAGTTTTAGCAATAAACATAAAAAATAAACATTTCGTGACATAAAAATGTTAAAAAGAGGGTGCAAAAACTAAAATTTAAAAAAAAAAAAAAGATTAAATTAAAATTTGACATTTTCATTTGTTGAATGAATCTGTATGAAATCATTTAGAATTTTAAAAAGTTTATTTTGAAGCTGAAAAGGAAAAATTCAAGTAAAAATAAAGAAATGGTAACCTCAACAAAAGAAAAATTAACTTACATGTTTGAAGATAAACAGTATTCATGAAGGAAGAGTTTTGTCAAGTATTTGTTTATAAAACTGACGTTCTAAAAATTCCTGTTCAGTTATGTTATAAAGTGTTACTTAAAAAAAGTCACTTTCTTGAAAGTTGCGGCTAGTAAGTGAAATACAAAGTTATCAAGACTAAAATAACACGAAGCGCAACATCGTGTTTTTTGATTAAAAAGTTTTACTTTTAGTATTAACTCTATTTGTGTCCATCTGCTCCTTTCCACGTTGTGAGTTGAAAGGAGAGAAAGAAAGAGACAAAAGCTGTCACATTTGGAAAGTGCTCTCTACACTTTTAGTTTCGACATGAATCAGCGAATAACATTTTTCTCTTTTGTTATGATGTATATTTGAATTGTTAAAAAAAAAAACGGGAAAGTATTAATTTCGTTTAAAGAAATACTTGAAAAAATGTCTGAAAAAACTTAATCAGTTTTTCAGGCAACACTGAACAAACAGTCTCTCTTAAAAAAAAGCTGAGGAAGCATGCATTTGTAATTTTCAAAGAGATGGAAAACAAAGTGTAGCTTTAGTGCTAAAACAATAAAAAGAACATTTAAAAAGAAAAAGAAAGCGGTTTTTCTTCTCCCCAGAGAAAGAGGGTTGTAGCAGCCACTGTGGGGTCGACACGTAAATAAAAGAAATTATACACTACAGGAAGAAATTCACACCAAAAACTGAGACAATACAAAGGCAGAGTTCTTAATAAAAGGGCCAAAAATATATTATTAGCAATAATCAACAAACATTTATGTTACAATATGTACAATTGATAATTTTTTGTAAGAACTAAAAGAGATTTTTTGCAAGTGCTGAAATATCAAAACGAATATTATTCCGAATATATTAGAGTTCCAAAGTGTGAGTGTGTGGAATTGCAAATATGGTTAATTTAATAGTCGTTAAGTACTTTTTTAATTATCATCCTATTTTCGACCTTAGTCAGGATCATCGAGACAATGCGAACAATTCTTTCTTTAGTTGTCTGGAGGGGGGCACGATATCACAAGAGGCCCACTAACATTTTTTAAAAATAAAAGACGTGAATTTGACGGGTCAACAAGAGGACAACAAACGACAAACTTAAAATTAATAGAAAATTTATTTATACAAAAGTATATGTTTGGATTGGATTAAATTTTAAAGGAACATGAACAAACAATGAATCAAGTAATGGAGGCAGAATTAAGTAATATTGTGAAATCTTGACCGGCTAGAAGATCTAGAACTGCGACTAAATGTTAAAAGTAGAGTCCGGGTAAGTTAATGACATAAAAAAACAAAGTTCGAAAGTTTAGTTCAAATGTCTGGCAAAAGTGTTAAAAAGATGCTGGTTAAGTCAAATGATGAATTTTCTGTAGTATTTTAAGTTAACCGAAGTATACGGAGCAGGTTATTTGAAGTCTGGACGATATAGCCAAGGACAAGAAAGTTCAATTTAAATGCCCGGTGCTGGCGTTGCGTAGTTGCTAGTTAAGTCCAATGGTGAACCATTCTATAGTATTTAAACTGAAGTGTACGGACTAGGTTGTTTGGACGATATGTTTGGACGATTTCTTAAACCAGGTGAGTTAGATTGATAGAAAAACCGGAGGAAGCAACCTATGCATAGTCGGAAGTTCAGGGCTGTTGTAAGCAGGTCCATTAACGCCGATCAACCAAATGGGTTAGGTTGAAATAGTTATGCCGGCAGTAGGAATCATTGCGTAACCGGAAGTTATAAAAACCATGAATGCCGGAAGATAAGAGTCTGTGGTAGCCGGAAGTAGTTAGGATTGCAGAAAGATAGCCGGAAGTGGTAAAGCCAAAAAAAAAAAAATGCCGGAAGTGGCCGTAGTAACCGGAAATAATAAAGGCTAGGAAGTATGGGACCGTGGTAGCTGGAAATAATAAAGGCTATGAATACCCGAAGTAAGAATGAATTGGAAAGCCCAACTAGCGTCCAGTTAGCAGAACAAAAATAAATGGGCACCTAACTCAATACATGACACGTCCAGGCCCCCTGGTCACAAAGACCAGGATACCTGTATTTCGCCTCCTCCTACTCCTACTAATTCGGTGAGAAGTCGCCGGGTTATATGGTAAGAGAATGTAATAACATTAACTGGGCCAGCAAAGTACTTACAATTTAAAGAAAATAAATTCAAAGTTGCTACAAAATATAAAAAGTATACAAATGTTTACAAAAAGCATTTAAATTAAGTTAGTAATAATCAACTAAAGAGAAGTTAGGTTAATTACAAATCTAAATAAACTTGCTATATTAAATTGAAGGGAGTGGGGCAACGCAATGAAGAGAAGGTTCAGGTCATGAAGATATATAACGTCTGCCCTTGAGCATGTAAACGGAGTAGCGAAGGGTCTACGATATTGTATAGTATGTGCTACGCCAGGGCTACATGCAGTTTTGAATTCAGAGTTACATTCTCCTAGACCAGTTGCCACCCAGGGCTGTAGAACCCAGTCTGTCCTGGCATTTACCCATAGCTGGGGTGGGGAGAAGTTTCATACCTTCGTGCCTTCCCTCACGTAAGTGAATGCAATGGATCCGACTGGAATTCGAATTCATCAATTCGAGCTGATCTCCATTACTCCACCGTACCTCTAAAAAGGAGCAGAGTAACCACGAGCAAGTGGTAAGTTTTTGAAAATGTTCGTGTTTGATATAGTCTTTCATGAAAGGAAAAATTCGTGGTTGAAACCTGTCGACGTTGAAATTAATAATGCGTCGATAAATGACAAATCACAGTTCATAGACAAAAAGCACAAATTAAATCATAAATAAAGTGAGTTTTGACTGGTAAGTAAAAGTCCAAGACGTGCTGAATGAAGAAGATAACGAACACGGCATTGCCGTTAAGTAAAACCAGAATTTGGCGGGAAATCAAATCAAAGTGCCGTGTTGAAAAATAGAATCCAATGTGGTGATGTGCCGATAAAATAGGTGCCAAATGTGGCGTGGTTGCTAAGTAACCAACATGTTAGCATTAGTCATCATAATGGTGTTTCTGCAAACAAATGTCGTAAGATTAACATGCAAAACAATGTAAATAAATAAATTAACAAAGAAACAAGAACGAATATAAACTAAGTAACGGAATGGGTTGCTCGAAAGAAGGACGGGATAACTTCCCGCCAATCCGGAGCGGCGACAAAGAAAAGAAGGGGAAGCAGGAAAAGGCGGAAGTCGCTTTTACTTCCTTCAGCAACCTTTCCGGTTACGGGGGCGGGGACTCAATACTGTCGTAATGATAGGATTGCAGTTTGTTTTAACGTGGGGGAACCCGAGTGTCCCAACTTGGGCCTCTTAACTAGATAAACTCTTAACTCGTCTTAGCTAATCATAGCCAGTCAAAAACCCACACTACACTACTAACAGATTCAAGGACTCTGTCCAGGAAGTGTGAAGGAGTGTGTGGGGGGGGGGTAACCTGGACTGGAAAACTGGGCCCAGAAGAAATACTAAAAAAGCATCTCCGACAAAGCGAGCAGTCCAAGCAGCAGGGAGGAGTCAGCCCGGTACGGAACAGATACTACAATAGCATCTACCTCGAGGCGGAGTGGGGATTTAGCTTTGACTCCCCACTTATTCAGAATGCGACAAAAGGTCAGTTTGTTTTAGCATGGGGAATCCGAGTGTCCTCACTCGGGCCTCTGGTCTTAGCTAGTCATAGCTTGTCGTAGCTGGTCATAACCAGTCAAGAACACACGCTATAGAACAGATCCGAGGATTCGGTTCAAGCAACGTGGGGTGGGGGAAGGGAACCCAACCCAGAATAGATACAGCAACAGCATCTCCGCCGAGGCGAACCGTCCAAGCAGCGGGGAGTAGTCTGCCCTGCATGGAACGGATCCTATAACAGCATCTGTCCCGAGATTTTCTGACGAACGAGAGAGCTGGAAAATATTAAAAGGAATTTGACCACTCCTGCCACACCGGAGAGCAGGGGTTATGCTCACTTGTCGGAACCTTGTTTCCAAAACCAGCTCCCAAACGTTTGATTCTTCTCAGAAATAAGAATATATTTTTTGACGAATGAGACGGCCGGGAAAGTGTATAAGCGATTTTGGAGGGAAAAGTTTCCGATATTTCTGAGCCTTCTAATCTCGATAAATACGGAGAATATGCACCTCTTTGGTAGTGAGTATTTGACATCGTCTGTGATAACATCGGGTCGGCGGCAGTAAGTCATCTTCGGATCCTGTTTCTAAGAAGAAATCTATATGCCGGCTTCTAAAGACAGAACATCAGCCCTTTACTAAAACTACTCGAAATCTGCTTCCTAGGATCTTGAAGTTCCTGTCGTCGACCTCTAATACGAACTCACTCAACTACAAACTACGAATCTTCCGATTGTTTTCCCCTCAGCAAGAGCTCTGAAAAAAACTATGTGAGTGTTAACTCCTTAAGAACAATTTACTTGCTTAAAGAACTTTTAGGCGCTCAGGGAAATATTTTGAGCAAACCTTTTTCTTTTTAAGTTAAAGGAATTTTCTTCTCCCTTTTTCTCTCATATTTTTTATATATCCCTTTAACATTTTTTTGTGTATGTAAATAAACATTTCCTTCTTCTATTGTTACACCCCGAGCAGGAGTTTGAGTCTATTATTCCGCCTAAAAGAGAGAATCACTTGCTATAAACTTTCAATCCGTTGTTGCTTTTATCGATTCTGTTACCTTTCACAAGCCTTTCATGTGGGAAAGCCTGGATAAATTTCCCACAGTTTCATGACAATCATTATGATGTAGAGGTGCAGTAACAAAACCTAACTAAAGGCCTTTATTTAGATATGGAAATGGGATTGAGTTTTATGAATCCTTTTATGTAAGAACTAAATGATGTAAACATATTCAGTCTAATAACGGAATTACACTAACCAATAACACATAAACTTGAACAGTGGCTAAAAAAATGTCATATGACGCGGACATATCGACGTCTTTTACTATTACCACCAAAATGGATGCCTGTTTTCGAAAATTAAAGCAAAAATCGCTACCCTCTCTTTAAAAATATTTACCAAAAATCAGGGAATTATCAGTACTTATTCATTAATGTATACTGAATTAAATTATTTTATTAGAAAACTTTGTGGAAATAGGTTTTGAGATTTATTTCACAAACACAGTTCTGTGCTGTTTCTTATTTTATTTTCCACACACACATACACACAATAAAAATTAATTCACACCACATGTATCAAAAAATACAATTGCGCGGGAATTCATTCCTTACCATGCCCTGTGGGGTCAAAAACAAGGACTGCGCACCCAAAAGTTCGGACGTAGTGAAAAGCACACCACGTGGTCAAAAATAGGATTTATTGACCAATCAGGACTCGACATAAGAAACCCATTTCTTAATCTCCCCGGAGCCTCATCATTCTTATATAAGGAAGGTAGAAACTCTCATCAGAACGGAGAGAGAACAGCGACAAGCTGACATCAAAGCGACACGGACAGTTTCGAGCACACACACCGAGGATTCAGCGGTTCACAACAGGCAATATCACGTATCAGTGAACATTCTTTCACCCTCTCTTTCTCTCATCTCGCTCGCTACACATAGTCCTACCTTTCCCTCTCACATTCCCAGTTCCTTTCTTTTCTTTTTCTTCCGCAGCTTTACGGACAATTTCATTTTGTATAAGGAAAAAATAATTCTTTACAAAAATAAACAAAAGTTTATTTTACTTTATTTGTAGTGTATTTTCTTTTTATTATTTGTTTGAGGGACTTCTTTGCACCCTCTACAGTTCGATAATTTCGTGTTTACTTTTGAATTTAGGGATATTCGGGAAATATTTTTACAGTTCAGTTATATAAAGAAAGATCCCTGAAGAATTATTTTCAGTGGGAAATTTATACAATACGGAAAATTCGTCCTGAACCTTACCAAAATAATTCAATAAAACTCAATTTTTTTTTCTTACTTGTTGGTGCTTGCATAATTTAATAACACATATTTTCTTTCAGATTAGTGAGGGAAAAAGTCTATACGTATTTTTTTTAATTACTTTGAAAACCATCTTGATGCTGTCCGTAAGAAGAGTTGTTTTTTTTTTTTTTAATTAAATAAAGACATGTTTGAAGAATTGAAAATGTAAAGTTTAATGCCATTTTCGCATGTGAACATTGTTTTAAAAAATTTTTTATTTTTTTTTATTTTTTAGCAATTGTTGGATTATCTTTTTGGTATGGATGTTTATAAAGGAATTAATTTTGAATTGCTGCCTTTGGCTATTTTTCCCTCTCGTAAGGGTAATATATTAATTCAGAATAATTAAAAAAAAAAACGCATTGGGTGCAATTAGATATTTTATGACATCAAACAGGTAAGATAAAAATAAAAAATAAAATCAATATATTTGTCGCGCCTCCAAAAACCTAAAAGATATTTTCCCGCACAAGGAAGGTGTTATATTAAGTTATAGAAAATAGGACAGACTCAGGCTTGAGAAAGCCGTCACGAAACGTGACCGGCATTTATTAGGTACCGGAAAAAAGAGGGTTAGGGAGAAAAGGGATGTACCAAGGAGCGAGAATCACGTTCAATTAGGGAGCATACATTAAAGGGTAATGCAAAGAGAGTATGCATTAAACAATAATGTAACATCCCTCCTTTTGTAAGTCCTTGACCAGTTTGACATTGTCCTTCAGATACGCTGGCTGTCGTATCTCTCGTCCACCATATGTGTGGATCTCAACAGAAGATTTGTATTTTTCTGGTTCGGTTATATTAGTGTCTTTGCTCTCAACAGCTGAGGCTGATGATACTATTGTAGCGGGCGGTCCATGCGGCCCCGTATCACAGAAAGGGGTGAACGAGGTCACAAGAGGCCCGCTAACATTTTTTGAAGACGTTAAATCTGACGGTGAAATAATATGGACGACAGAACGAGGATATGTATGATATATAGAGGTTTATTCTAAAAGGAAATGAAGATGGTCGGAACGGTGGAGGTGCTGGAAGCTGCAGGAGGAGCTGGAAGCTGCAGGAGGAGCTGGAAACAGTGGAGGAGCCGGATGCTGCAGGAGTGCTGGATGCTGCAGGAAGTTGCAGGAGGAGCTGGATGCTGCAGGCATTGATGGTCGAGGTTGGCGTTGGTAGTTGCTAGGATCATCGTTGTTGGGGGTTGAAGCTGATGTGGGTTGTTGCCAGGATGATCGCTTGGTGGTTGTTGAAGTTGATGTTGGTTGATGCCAGGATGATCGTTGTTGGTTGAAGCTGAGTCGTTGCCGGGGAGAAATCACTGTCTTGTGACGCGGGAGACCAGCAAGAGAAATTAGCTAAGCTAACCGAAAAGTCTCTATAATAAAATACTACGAGGTTAGCTAAAGATAACTAAGGTCTAAAAATGACTAGTAGTATATTACAACTAGGTTTGTAATATAACCTAACTAAAAAGGGGGTTTGCTAGTCCCTCCGACGTGTTAACAGTGTGTAAGGAGCATGAATGAGAGGTCAAGGTCGAAATGACCTGTTCCTCTGCCGGTTCAAGGATAGAAGGAGGAGGTAACTCCGACACTATTAGAGGTGCCGAGGCTCTTTGTGTTTTTGCCATGTCATGTGACAAACTTTAAATGTCTGTAGAGGTTGTTGGTGGTTGACCATTTCTTACATGCTCTACTGGTTCAGAAGATGACGTCTGTTTTGCCGATAGGTTCCACTCGCTGTCTGGACTTGTATGAACGTTCATCCAAACGGTGATTTATAACGCCTTTCTCCCACTCTCGGTCATCTTTCTTGTACGGGAGCATTCCCACAAAATAAGCCTTCACTCAGCACAGGGAAATCACTTGTACGACGGTCATAATATTCAGAATGAACCTTCTGCCTGGGTTCGAGTAGAGTATAGGATATAAACTCTATAAACTATATTTCATGACCAATAAGTGAAGCACAAACAAGAGACGCCTACAGATAGATCTTACTAAATTCAGTATATACAAAAAACATTTTTTACAATTTTTTACAAACAGAGCTCCAAATTAAATAAGTGGTTTTTGGAACCTGGTTGGATAGAACAAGTCACGTGATGTGCTTTCTACGACGACCGCGCAGTTGAACTCCAAACGACTTGGAAAAGGGTTGGGACGCGGGTTACTGAATACATTCCCGCACAAAACTCAGATAATGATTCGGAGTCGACCCAAAGCGATAAAAACGGCTCGCCAGGAACAAAGACAGTCAGCAAAAGAACAGTCGGTCAGTGAATCAAACCCTGCCTCGATCAACAGCATAGACACACGTTACCATGACAACGCGTCAGTCAGCGATGATTTTTCTACACTCAAAAACATACAAAGTGACGAAAGTAAGTCGTGCCTCTTCTCTTTTTGTTAAAATTACTACTCCTATACACATGGTTCCGAAACCAGACACAGGTGCATGGCGACCTTATGGGGATTTCAGGAGTCTCAACGCGAAAATATCAGTTGGATCAGTTCTACATCAGAAGCAAAATGGCTAAAAAAATACAATTTCCTTTTTCTCTATAAACTTGAACAAAAAATACAGTACCTTCTCGAGGGAGTTATTTGCAATTTACTTATCTATATGGCATTTTCGACATATGCTCGAAGGGCGAGATTTTACTGTTTGCACAGATCACAAACTTCTCACTCGTACGTGAATACAGACAAATATATGCCCAGAGATACACGATAACTGGATTATATACCCCAAATTTATTAACGGTTCAGACAATGTCGTGGCAGATGCACTCTCGCGCTCCACAATACAAATCTCTAGATTCGAAACTATTACCTTCGACCTCATCGCAGGCGAACAAAAAAGAGGCCATTTTAAACAGAATAAAAGAGGCCACTTCTTTATAACT